GGGAGAAATTATTTATTTGATTTAAATCAATACTTATTTCATCTGAATATACATTTATTTGTTTGTATTCGTATGAACATTTATTTGAATTGACGAAATCCTTTTTCACTAAAAGCTTGATCTTATGTCCTATAAAAATAATTGTATTCCTCCGTTCTCGAAAATGGCCCCCTCTATGGAAAATAATCATTTTCGCATTTAAAATGCCACCGGAAGCGTCAATCAACCGTGAATCCAATATCAACGTACTTTTAAACTCATCCAAATAAGATTTAAATCTATAAGGATTAACGATATTTTTGCTTTGTCTCTATAGGTAGAGACGAACATCCACCGGTAACGCATTCATAGAAACTATCTATCGTTTGTAGCGAATCTCTATTCATAGGTACAGTGGAACCATACCACCAAGAAGACACCTACATATAAATCTCAGTAATGCGACGACATACTGTCAGCCAGGTCAGCCTAGAGCGTCCAGGCGCACACACACTTTTTTTTTTTTTTTTTTTGTTTGATGCAGCGGGGAGGGGAAAATCTTCATGGACACCCCAGCTAGTCCGGTGGTAGTGTCGGATTCACCCGGTATGCCTACCGACTAAAAACTAACCTCCCCGCATAGGACAGGTCCGTGAGGACCACTCCCCTAGAAGACAAAAGGGCATAGAAGAAGAAAGAAAATCGTTACAGGCCGGGTACAGTGGCCCTTCGTGAGATCCGTCGGTACCAGAAGAGCACTGAACTCCTTATCCGTAAGCTGCCGTTCCAGCGTCTCGTGCGAGAAATCGCTCAGGACTTCAAGACCGACTTGCGCTTCCAGAGCTCGGCCGTCATGGCTCTGCAGGAAGCGAGTGAAGCATATCTCGTGGGACTTTTTGAAGATACCAACCTGTGTGCAATCCACGCCAAGCGAGTGACCATCATGCCGAAGGACATCCAGTTGGCCAGACGCATCCGTGGAGAACGGGCTTAAATTATTCCATAAAACAACCGGCTCTTTTCAGAGCCAACAAAAATCAGCGTAGACTTCTACTTCTCGTCACATTTGTATATTTGTGGTTAGTTACTATTTAAGGGAAAAATGTTACGTAGTTCAAACATTAAATAATTGGTTAAATTTTTACCTTTTGATAGAATCTTTCAAAAATGACTTTAGAAAAAAATTACGTTAAAATGTGTAAGAACAATTTTAGGTGTTGAAACCATAGATCAATTACTAATAGTACAATTGCCTTATATGGCAAGGCCAGTTCATTGAACCAAGAAGTTCTGAGAAAGAGTATCAAAAATCGGATAACGACGAGAAGTTTCCAATAACTGTGTTTTACTAATTGATTTCTTGCATTATACATCACATTTCATTCTTCATCACTAGAATCCGTGATATTATAAAAATGAATATTTAAAATATTTTAATATAAATATTTTTATNTCGATCGACCAAAAAGTAGGTACAGGTAGGCATTAAGAGGAAACTCCTCGGATCGGTAAATAATGTCAAGCACACGTCGAAGAAGGAGCGCACGTACGTAATAAATGTGTAATATATATGTATAAAGCAGCCGAGCGTTTGAGAGAAATTGAAATTTACGACACCGACCAAGGTCGTCCGCGTGGCCTCGATCCGTCGCCCGCGAGAAAATCCCCCGAGAACAAGCGGAGGAGGAGGCGGCAAACAACAATACCCCGCCGATTCTTTTTCCCCTGTGTGACGGCGTAACGAGCCGATCCCGCGCCTCCTCTGACGGATGACTCCACACGCACATACACACCGCATTTTCGCATTCAACCTGCAACTGGAGGTGAGACTAGCGCGATCTCGTTGCATCAGGGCTATACGGGTATAGGTCGAGTTGGGAAACCGTACGAGTGTGCGCGCGTCCGTGTGTTATTTGTGTACTGGAGCACAGGCCGCGTGGGCGTCCACGACGGCCGTCGGGATCTTCTCTCCTCTCCCGCTCGCGGTCATTTATTCCTCACTTTTGCGCGCGCGGCCGCGTTTCGTAATGCCTTTTTTTTTCCTTTCCCTTCCCTTCCTCCCGATATTCATTATCATCATGAATTAAAAACGCGAAATCCCGCGTGCTTGGAGCGAGAAAAGAAATAAAGAAAAAAAATCGAGATCGGTAAAGATCGGCAAGTTTTTTTTTTCCTCTCTCGCTCTCTTCTCCTAGCGCGCCTACTCGCTGTTGGGATTTGCATACTGGGCGAGGACGGGCGAAACGTCGCAACCGATCTACGGATCGCCAATTACATACTTTGGCGAATCTTAAAATCGTCATGAGTATAGGTATACGTCTCGATGATGCACTCACGGTAATCGGTACGCCGTTGCTCTTGAGCACCTCAAGGTCCTTCAAGTACCCCGCTCCGTCGAAACCATCGGAGCACCGATGGCTCACCCGACCCTTCTTCCTGTTCCTGCTAGCGAGTGCCATCTCCAGGAGGTCCTCCCACTCGACCACGTCGTAGCTGAGCGACTGTCCCGTGGTCCTGCTCCTCTTGACGACCTTGCCAGTAGCGGCGTGTCTCCTCGTGATGGCGCAATTCCTCCCGTTCATCGCCTCGAGCTGCTGCTCCGCGTCCGCGGTTATCCTGCGGCCCTTGCGCTCCCGGGGCAACCGGATGATGTTGCTGTCGTCCCAGCCCTCCTCCATCTTCCGGATCCTGTCGTTAACGGCCAACCCGCTCCTCAAACTGTCGGCCCAGGTCTCTTTTTTCGGCTGCTGACCGCGGCGCAAGCTCGACGTGTAGTTGGTGCCCCGGACGAGGGGCGACGTTGGCTTCCCGTTGCTCCTACCGATCAGCTTGACCGAGTCGTCGTAGATCGACTTGGCGTGGTCAATGTCGTCGAGGACCCTGTCTATGCGGCGTATCATGCTGGTCGGGTCGCTGTGCCCCGGCTCCGACGAGTTGAGGCTGTCGCTGTCGCTGTAGTCCCAGGAGCTCGTGCTGTTCCTGCTGAGCTTGCGCGCGTGGTGTCCCGATGGCGTCCCGCCGATCGGCTCGGCCGTCGATCTTTTCGGGCCGTTCCTCGCACGGGGTTGCTGCTTGCCCGGCTGCAGCGGACTCGCGCACGACCTTCCACCCGGGGCAGGCCCGTTTTTCCCGTTGAGCAGCGCTTTGCCGATCCCGCTCGCGTGGGCCTTGCCCTTGCAAGCTCGGTGGTGGCGCATGTGCTCCTGATGCGTGGCCGGCATGTTTTCTTCGACTTTGTCGAACCGCAACACTTTCACTGACGCGAAACCAAAGTCGTTCGCACGAGCGCGAAATATAGGGGGATGGAAAAATGAAAACAAAGAGCTTCAAGCCAAGTAATTAGCTGATTAAAAATAGACGGCGTTTGAAGAGGAGGCCCGAGGGGGAGAAGCGCGCAACTTGAGGTTCCGGAGAAAAATGACGCGCGTATTCTCACGGCGCGCGAAAGTTATAAAAGGGTGAAAGTCTCTCGTCGTCGTCTCCTCTCAGCTGCTGCAACGACAACACGAGGGGAAGAGCTAGACGGCAACCTTACACGTGTATTAAAATATATGTATAGATATATTGCACATATATATTATATATGCACACACACACATACACACACGTCGGAGACGCGAAATTCACATTTTGCAGTGTCCCCTTATGGTCGTAGACGTTGCGGGGCTAGCCGAGCTGAAGTGCCGGTCACGAGCGACCGCCGCTCCGCGGGTTCCTCGCACGCCTCCTCATGACTTTGCCTTCGCTCTCTCTCTCTTGATTTTTATTTTTTATTCACTTGAACTCGGTGGTGCTTTTTTTTTTTTTTTTTTTTTTTTTTTTGTCCCTATAGTGGTGTCCACCACTACAGTGTCACTGTTTAACTTTTTTCAAAGGCTACGCCAGACGTTTTTGCACCCCCGTCACCTCCACTCCGTTTTCGAAGCGTCAATTATAGCGCAACTCCTGTACCTCCTGGGCCTTTGGAAAAAAGTTACACGCAGTGCTTTTCATTACCACGCCAGTGAGTAATAAATAATGCAACTTTTTCGTGAATGTTTTATGTGAAATAGAAGGGTTTTTTTCGTATGCCCATTGATTGCGGTGAAAAGAATAGATAGCTGTGGATCTTTTTTTTTCAAACCCAAGTGAATAATCTAAACCACGCGGATGGTTGTGGATTCACTCGTTTCTGTTGAAAACGATTTCTTCTTATTCGATTTTGATTTAGATAAATTTAACATGTGAATTAAAGATTTTTTAATTATTAATTATTTTGAAAAAGTTGCACTGTTTTTTTTGGTGAAAAAATTTTATTTTCAAGTATTTGTAAACCTAAAAAACAGCTATGCTTATTTATTCCTGATCAATAAAAGTATGAAATATTTTGGTAGGTGACGGTGAAATTCCCAAAGCCCTAAGAGTTCCGGCTTATTGCCAATTTTCCACACAACAGAGGATTCACTGGCACGCAACGGGAAAAGTTTCGCGATATTCTTCACTTTCTCGCAACTCCCCACGAAATCCGAATCCAGAGAATCCCATCAAGTGATTTCAATATTAGGCATGTTATCGAAATCCACCTTTTATTAAACCCTCGGGGCGCGCGTCCAGGCCGCTAAGTGGATGCCTGCGAAAGTACCCTTTTCCAGAATTTTCCTGTTTATTCGCATTTCTATGACTACTCTCACTCAATCCCTTCGCTTTTAGCCATCTTTTTCTTCCCTCTTCCATATATACCTTGAGCTTTCAACTTTCAGAACTGGAGTTTAAGTCAGCAAACGCATGAAGTTAAAGCATTTCTACCGAAACTTGGTTGGATTTTAATTTATTATTTAATAAAAACCAGCTGTCATACTTTTATGTATAGTTGTAGTAATAGTTTGTAACTTTAACGCAACAGAAAAAATTCTTCTTCAACTATTCGTGAATGTGAATTGAAATATGTCATTCACTCGTAAATTGAACAATTTTACTTTTGTTAATGAAAACAAAATAATAAGAGTTAAAAGATTTAATTTAATTATCGGACTTAAGGTTTAACAAATTAATCAGTTTGCTAGTAAATTGCATTCATTCAATTATTCAAAAAATATACCAAGTGGTCCGTTAATAGGAAACTTTGAAGCAAACATTTTTATTTAAAAATTAAAAAAATACTTGTTATTATTACTGTATGCATCTATTTCTCCTCAATATAGTACAGTACTTGAAAGATTAATTGATAACTATGGATGGTTTGGGGTGCTGTTGCAACATCACTGATGGAAACGAAGGTAATAAAGATTTTAACCAATCCTTTCATGATTTAAAAAAAATTTTTTTTACTAATTGTTTTTTAAGACAACAGATGGTTTTAATTATACGAATAACACTCACGTTTGTTACACTTAATTAACTTGTAAGAAGATACATTATACTGACTTGCGGTACCCCCCACACACCCTTATTTCTCTACTCGATGACACCACATCTGTCTCCTGCGAATGTATTTAACTTAAAATGTCTAGTCAAAATTAAAACTTGAGGTCATTTATTTAAAATTTTATCGCTAAAAATTGAAATGATGGAATAAAAAGTGAAGATTTACTTTGAACTTTCTCGCAGTGGAAGGACTAAAAAAGAAGAAACATTCAAGTACCACTGAGTTAATCTTTCTTCTTTCTATGAAAAAAAGGCACCGATTCGAGAAAAAAACTCGATCGGGAAAAATTTCCAATACCACAAACTACTTACTCCTTGCATCTCACTCTTTCTGTTTCTCACTTTTTTTCCCCCCCTTTTCATGCTCTGATACTTTTCCTGAGACGAGCCGTGAACTTTCCTTTTATGGACCCCTCGTTTTTTTCGATACTCGGGACGAACTTGTCTCTGCTCTTTATCTGACTTACTTATATCTTCTGATTTTTGTTCTCTGCTGCCAAAGGCTAGGGGGGTAATATACAATTTTTAACCAGTTCGTGGCATCGTTTCCTCCTACACTTTCAAGATTTTCAAATACTCTTTCATCCATAG